ATCTTTCAGATCCTCGGTTGCCGTCCTGTCGCTTCAGTGGATCATTTCGTTCCTGAAGCTCTTGGTTCAGCAGATCTCGTCGAGGAAGTCTCTTGTGGAGGTGATGGCAAAGTTATCAAGGTAGAGTTTGAAAAGCTGTTCTGCCATAAATTTTCAGTTCTTCTAAAGTCATTCTTACTCAGTTTAGCTAACATTATTGAAAACCTATTACGCTCTTGTATTACAAAAATACTGCATTCCAGGTCACAGGAGTTGCTAATCCAGGGCAAGCCTGCTCGATTCTCCTCCGCGGTTCCAATAAATTGGTTTTGGAAGAAGCTGAACGCTCCTTGCATGACGCTCTCTGTGTAATTCGATGTCTCGTTAAGAAGAGGGCACTTCTTCCAGGTCCTTTAATTTGACTTGTACTTCGACTTAGTGTGTTGCTTTGTATGGAGATTCAGATAGCTTTTTGAGAAGTTTCAGTTGTAATCATATTTAGGTGGAGGAGCTCCAGAAATGGAAGTAGCTGTAAAGCTGCGTCAGTTAGCTCAAAAACAAATCGGTGCTCAACAGTATTGCTGGCGTGCGTTCGCTGATGCACTTGAGTTGGTTAGTATAAGGGTTGAGGTAATCTCAAGATATTCTTTCAATGGTAAATCAGGTGCCTTATACTCTCGCTGAAAACGCTGGACTTTCACCTATCCACACGGTAACTGAACTGCGCACCCAACATGCTAACGGCAACTCTGATTATGGGGTTAACGTTAGAAAGGTGAAACTTACTTCCTGACTTCCTAGTGCTGATTCAGAATCAAGTGTACAAATGCTATGATTAAGGGATATGTGACTGATATTCGTGAAGAAAATGTCCTCCAACCTTTGTTGGTCACTCTGTCTGCCATCAAGCAGGCTTCGGAGTGCGTCAGGTCCATTCTTAAAATCGACGATATCGTGAGTAGTCTATTATCATCTCACTAAAATTGTTTTTTTTTTAAATCCTAAAATGAACATCACTATATACGTTCAGTTGATTTTATCCTTTTTTTTCCTGTTCCTTCACTTATAGGTGTTCAATGCTAGCATTCACATTTCTAAAAGTTTGGAGATACCCTCGTTGTTCTACATCTTACGAGTTGTGGGTGCACGTTAATTGCGCTGT